GGGGGGGGGGGTATGTGTGAGTTACACTTAAGATAAAAACTATATGATTGTACTATAAAAAATATATGATTAAGATTAAAAATAACTTTAAATTTTTTTTAATTTATTTATTATTATTTTTTTTTTTTTTAAGAAAAACAGTAAATATTTTCTATTTACTACCGCACACTATTTAGAATTTTACTTACAACATATTAGTACTACAGTAGGGAACCGATTATCCGGAACGATCGGTACCATCGCTATTCCGGATAACTGATTTTTCCGGTTGTCTGAATCGCTGCAAAAAGCCGTTTTATTTTATTGTTAAACTCAACTAAAAAAAAACTTTTTGGAAATAATCTTAAAAAGAAGAAAAAACGATGAAGTAATACACTAATGATTATTTCCGAAATGATGGTAAGGTAAACATCTTTCAAAAAAGAAAGAAAAATACTAAAATCTTATGAGGAGAAAAAAAAATTCTTGAAAAAAATGGCGGGAAAATTTATCGAATTTTATTCCGGTTTTTTGGTTTTCCGGTTTTCTGATTTCCGGATAACGGGTTTTGTACTGTATTTAATTTGTTAGCTATGTAGAGATAAAATCATATAAATCCTGATACATCATGAACAAATCCTGCTCTGTGGCTCTACTGCCATTTCATCATATATTTTTCTAGTTTGGAAACTTATGATTATTTTTGAAGATGTTAATTATTTTTGAAATGTTATTTGGACTTTTTGAAGTTTTCATTTTAAGGAATATATCTCTGGAGTTCATTTTATTTGATAAAACTTATTTGCTCATTGATGGTTTTATACAAAAATTAATAATAATCTTCAAAATCATTTATAATTTGTATTAATAACAATAAAAATGCAAAAATTACAGGACATTAAAATGTTACAAGTCTCTGCAATAAATTTTAAATAACAAAATCCAAATTTTAAACAAATTAGTAACTCTCGTAAATGTTACATAAAAGTATGAAGTTAAATAAAATATGCCTCATTATTCAAGTTTTTTTAATCTTTATTAAATTAAATAATTTAAAACAATAAATTATTATTTAAATTGATTATTAAATAATTAATTATATTTTTTAATTTTATTATTTTTAAGGAAACCAGTTTTATAATGAGTTCAAAAAATATCTCGTGCAATTTTAAAATTTTATCAAGACCAAAGCTAATAAGATATAATTTTTTTTTTTTTGTATGCACTCACATATATATTGGAGTGGAGTAATACCAGATAGCTAAAATGTTCAACCTAGAAAGAAACTGTCAAATTTAATATCAATATATCACTCCTGGAAAGTTATAGATGATTTATATATTATTTTTTCTTGAAACTGTAAGATGTCTGTTTTACATAATATGTTTTGAGGAAAAAAAGCATATGCTAAAAATCCTATTATATAGTAAATAATGCAATTGTAATACCAGAACAGGGTGGCCACCCACCTGGAACTATCAGGAAATTTTTTTATACTGAAAATATCAGGGAAATTTGGTTAAAAACCTGGAAAAGTCAGGGAATTTTAAAGAAAAGCTGGAAATTTTTTTCTTTGATATTGTTTCAATTTTACTAATTTCAATTATTTACAAATTTTCTTAATTCAAATTATTTCATCCATTATATCAACTTTTTTTATACCAAAAGTTGAAACGTCATCAACTTAACGCTACTTTGTTTGCATCAAAATTTGCTCCATTATAACCCTGTTAAACTAGAATGCCACATAAAATTCTCCCGTGGTTGCTAAAGGAATGTAGAAACCTTTGACCTCTATGGTGACTATGGGACTGCAATTCAGGAAAGTGTAGTGGAGGTGGAAGAAGGGGTTAGAATATTTGCTTCTGTTTTTAATTTCTGTCTGTGGGTTGAATCCATTTATAGTTCAAGTTTGTTCCAATGCTTTAGTGGTAATTTTTTTCTATTTTAACAAAATGATTCAAAATGTTTTTGTATTTTTAACATTATAAATTTCTCCAAAAATTAGTCAGTTATAATTTAATAATAATAGATTTTATATCGCACTCTTTTTCTGAAAGCTTTTGTACTCCTATTCAAAAAAATCTGTAAATTATTTTTTTTCAGCAAACCAACCAATCACACATTTTTTTACAATCGCTAACAGCAATGTTTGTCAACAAATTGTTACAATTGTTGCATTTGCATTAATACTATTTTTCTCAATTTTATGTTACCTATTATAACATATTTTAATTAAAAAAAGTTTTTTTTAAAGAACTAATATATTAATATTTAATTTTACTGTTTTGTTTGCAAATATTTGATTTCTGATTCAAAATTCGAATTGTATAATTATCACA